TCCCCAATTTCTCACCTGATGGCCCCCCTGCGACTGTGCCTGTCTTAGGTTGTTCCTCCCTTGAGGAATCTTACCCGTCTCTGGCTAACCAGTCATCTTCCGGGGCCATACAGGGAAATGTAAAGTTGGTAAGTGAGAGAGAAGCCATTTTGTTTGAAAAGGTTAATATAGCTACATTTTTAACTGAGGAAAATGTTCGTCAGAATCTACAGAGGATTAAAAAAATAAATCTATAAAATATGGCTGACTTAATCAAATGGTGTTTGGTTTTAAGAATGTGTTTTTGAAAGCGTTTGCAACTTTAAGAAAGGAAAACCTGTTGCCAGCTTACCTCATTTGTGTCACTATATTCAGTTCATTATTTGGAAACATTGTCTTCCCTAATTTATTGCTAATTCTCTCTAATCTATTGATTCTTTATTTTACAGATTGAATCTTATATTTCCTACTGTGGTGGTCTTCCAGCCCCTGAATATTCAGACAATCCTTTGAGATACAAATTTAGCTGGAGTCCAGTGGGCGTCCTGATGAACGTAATGCAGCCTGCCACCTATCTGCTCAATGGAAAGGTGAAGGGTCATCATCAGAGCTTTGGAGAGGCAAACCTGCAGTTACTGACTGAGGAAGTCCAGACTCTGTCCCTGATAACTAGGCCCCTTTGTAGTGGCTGGGCCACATATGTTCCACTCCGTCCTCCTTTGGTGTTTCCTAGTATATAGTTTCTGTTCCACTTGGTGTGCATGGTCTCCTCCCCATTCACAGCAAAGTTCATACTCATTCTTTCCTCTTTAACTTCTTGCAAGTTGTTGCTACAACTTGCAAACTCACTTCTCAACTTTTCTGCATGTGTAAATACTGGTCACCTGGTGATTTGTTTTGGCTTCACAGACATTTAGTGAATCCCTCCTATGTGCTGGACTTGGGGCCAGACACTAAGGGTTGTCCCTCTGAAGGAAGGACCTCAGGGAACCTTTAAAAAGCTCCCCCAGTGATTCTAATGTGTAGTTGAATTTGAGAAGAACTGATTTAGTGACCAGAGGACCAGAGCTGTACTTAAAACACTGTCAGAAAGGCAGGGCACTTAAATGTGATACTGGAAAGATACATTCACATGTTTCAGGATATGAAACAGGACCCCTGAGCTCTGGTCCAACTGCTGGCATCCCTCTCAGTGTCATCGAAGGCCAGGCAATTATAAAGGTCCACTGGGCATCAGGCTCCTGATGTGTAATGTAGGCGCTAATGGTCCAACCAGTTCTCCAACGCCAAGAAGCATGAGGTTTGTGCCAGAACTCAGTCTAATGTTCTACCAAGCATACATCTTTTTATATGTTGCAGCCTGTCACCCATGGCATTTCAACAGCTCCTCCACTTTCTGCAATCGTGGAAAAGGGACTGGCCCATGTTTGGTATAAACTAACGTGGGAATGTAGACAAAATTCTTGCTTCAGTTGGGCAAAATGCTTATTTTCAGGAGGCCATATACATAATACAGATGATAACAATGAAAGAGTCAGCAGAATGCAAGCTGTGGAGCAGAGAGAGCAAGGGGTTTGAAGGCAGTGGCCCGGCCCTGGGCTCTAGCTCTGCCATGACTGACTGGGTGGCCCTGGAACCATCACTTTATCTCTCTGAGTTTTGGGCTCCTTGTCTAAAGAGAAGCATAATAATACCGGCCTTGTGGGGTTCTTGCAGTGGGGCTCAGAGAGGTCATAGTGTCAGGTATGCCCTGGTGCCTAGCAGATGTCAGCCACATAAAGGAATTGATAGCAGTGAGATCCCATCAAGAGCAATGGAAATTGTATTTGTTGAGCTTGAAGCTTTTTCCCTTTCGTCCTGAGCTCCTTTTGTGAAACAGGAGTGCTGTTTTGCATCTCCCTGACACTTTGGAGGACACCAAGAGAGAACATGAAGCTTTTCTTTTCTTTGCTAACATGATACTTTTTTCAAGGCCCCCACTCAAGATTCCTCTCATGGATACGGCTTTGCCTGACGACTCCAGCCCCCATTCACTGTTCTTTGGTCCAAACTCCCACACTTTGCTTGTCTCTTTCCAAAATTTTTCAGATGCTGTATTATTCACTCAGTAATTCAAGTGTATCCGTCTGTCTCCCAGCCCAGACTGTTAACTTTTTAAAACCTCTCTTGTCCTCTTGTCCCTCATTCACCTGTGCCACCATCATACTGCATGGTGGAGCAGGCCTTCTTTCATTCACAGGATCATGGGGGGGTGGGCAGTGACCTCTCTGACTTCTGCTTAAAGTTAAAGCTTAAGCTTTTCCAGCAACTTAGGCAGTGGCCCTGAATTAGGACATATCTCATTGTCCTACATCCTGGTAGTAATTTCTAGCCACTGGTACTATTTTTTACTTCTAATCCTATTTCTAACAAATCTGATTTCCTTCCACATATAGGAGACAATGATTGTGTCTCAGTTTTGTTCCCTCCAATAGATGGTGGGACATTGGTGGCACCTGGCAGTGACATGGCAGAGAATCGCCCTCATCTCCTTCAGTCTACTCTCCCAAACTTCTCCCAGCTAAACAAAAACTCTTAAGTAAGGATGATGCTCGCCCTGCACACCCAGCCTTGAGATCGGCTTCTTAGCTCTCTTCCATTGCTTGTTCCTCTCTTGCCTGTAGCACCCAGCCTGTCCTTTGTAGGAAATCATCAGCCGCCTCTGCTCTCCATTGCCTGCAGCCATCCTTAAGGCGCTTCCCAGGCGCACCCCCCATGGTATCATCTGGAGTGCTGTGCCTTGTCACCCAGTGTCCTCAAAAGGCTGATCTGCCAATAAGCCCCGTTAAGGGGACAGACAGTACAGTGTAGTACAGAAAACATGGGCATGGTGTCAGATAGACCTGGGTTCCCATCTGCCTCTGGGGGACTCTCAGCCTCAGTTTTCAGTTCTGAAAAATGGGTTATTGGACAGATTAAAGGTAATGTATATGAGGTACCCAACCTTGTTTTCAGTGGGCCCTGAATAGATGATTGTCTGTATATTTCCTGGTTCAGTGTCTCTGGAGTTTAGCTTTGAGCTTGTTGTTGGTGAGTCTCAGTGGGTGTGGGTGTGGGTGTGGGGACAGAGCTGGAGTTAGAGCAGCCTGTAGCAGCAGTGAGTAGAGGACCGCTGTTTCTGCTGGGACTGGGTCTTGGATGTGAGCATTGTCCTGTCAGAAAAGAAATGCATGTTCTCTGTCAAATTGATAGATATGCCTTTCTGTCTTCATCCAAGTCACTAATAAAATATTAAACAGGACAGGGCTTATTAATGAGCTCCATGATATTGTCCTAGAAACACAACTCTGCATTGATAGTAAATGAGAATGATTACCCAGTAATTTTGGGGTCAAGTTGCTGTAGGAGCTGTCAGTCTCTCTAAATGAATTATTACCATTCAGCTTACATTTCCCTATTTTCTTCACAAGGATCTCATGCTAAACTTATGAACCAGCTGATTTATTTCTGATGAGTAAAATCCTGAAATGTACTAGTCTTCGTTGAATTTTTCTTAAGAAAATTTTCTTCACCTTCAACCAAGTAATCAAAACTTTAGAATTGCCACAGGTTATAGAAGAGAGATAGGTATGGAGACCCCAAAGGTTCACATTTTTCTTCTTAGTAGATTATTTCTCTTTACATTTAGAGCTCTGACAGAAGAATTTTGTTTTAAAGAAATAGTGCAGAAAGGGTTCCTCGTGTAATGTTTACTATGCAGTCCAGAAGAGTTTCATAAGGAAATTAAGTAGAAAGCGTTCCTCACTTCCTTCAGAGTCTCACTCTTGGAGTTTTAGACAGTGCTTGGGGCTCCGCAAGGCGAGCCTTTTATCAGGAAGGCCGCAACCGGGCTTGACTCGCAGTGAGCACAGCAGTTGCCTTCTGGGGCTTCAGCTCCCTGTGCGTTTGTGCTTTCTCTCTCATACCAAGGCACACGCAGAACCTAGCTCAGAAAGCTCTGCGAATCGTAGGGTCAGCTGGAGACTGTCGGGCGATGTACACAGAATTCATCGCAGGGCACGCCGGCTGCTCCCTTGGGCAGAATTGCTTTGTGCAGCAGGAGACACGTGGTCAGAAACCATTTCTAGCGGCACAAGCTGGGCGGAATCCAGTTCCACCAGCAGCCGCACCAGGATTCTCGCCCTGATTTTATCGCTGCAGGATGCTTTTCATTATCTCAGAGATATTCATAAACCTCAAACTGAAAGAAAATTGAGCCCTTCAGCCAAAATTAAACGGAAAAGAAAGCTTCACTGCGTTTTGAGCGGATGTGGTGGGGGAGGGTGTGATAAGAGGATTACTGAGAATTCAGAAGAGCTTGGGGATCAGCCATCTGACTGCTCACCAGCAGTCGGATCAGGGGTAGCACTTGTCTGAGTTTGAGGGTAGTTTCACTGCGTTGTCTTTCTCTAGAGGGGACCTGTCCCCAGTTCCCCTTCCCCAGCGTATGCCAGCGGGTCGATTAGTCTAGGCTGTGACTTGCAGGTGCTCTGCCACAGGCCCTCGGCACTTGGTAGATGGACAGTGAGTAAAGGAAGTGAGTGGAGAGAGGACTTGTATCTAATTTCTTGCTCTCCTGATTGCCTCCACAACGAGTGTGGTCCCGGCACTCTCATAGTAGGTCCTCAGTAAATGCCAGGGTGAATGAAATGTACAAGACTGCTGCCTGGTGGGTCTTCAGAAGGGGGATGGGAGTAAAGAAACAGAGCAGAGGGAGAATATTGCCACTGCTGCTTGAGCATAGAAGCCATTTAAAGAAGTATCTCGCTTTTAACAAGCTTATTGTTTATGTAAAAGCAAAACAAAAATCTGATGGGACATAATTCAGTGCCATCTTATCCAGGAACAAAATAGAAAACAAGACCTTAGTTGAAGTTAAATGCTTTAAGTGAGATTTTAAAGCTTGGGAGATAATAATGACCTTGTGACTTATGATATTAGTGGAGCAGCTTGAATATATGGATGTTGATCATGATAGTTTCCTTAAATTTTCCTTCAAATCCTCTGTTCCTTCTTTTAAAACTTGCATTTCTTATGTGATCAGTGCAGATAAATCCAAAGGGGGCCACATCGTCATAACCCAGCTTGTGCCTTTGCCTTGTTCCTCAGGTCGTGAATGCTGCCGGTGGGGTCTCCTTTCTTGATGCTGTTACTCCCATGGATTACTTCCCGGGACTGAATTTGGAGGGCTATCCTAACAGAGACAGTACAAGATATGCTGAGATTTATGGCATTCCGTCTGCTCACACTTTGTTGCGGGGGACACTGAGATACAAGGTAAGCCACTGTAGTTCTGATAAAACATGTCGCCTGCTTTGGACACTTGATTTTTCTTAGTAATCAAGGTAACTGAGATAAACCAATTGGAATCTGTTTTCTCACGATATTCTTCTGATTGAATGTCTTAGGGGAGCTCAAAATGGCTTGAGTAAAAAGCGAATTTTTGACTCACGAGGAGTGGAGCCCAGTGAAAGGTCAGCCTCCAGTGTAGTGAGATTTGGGGGCCAAAGTGACAACACTGGGACTTGGTCTCTTGCCACTTCTCAGCTCTCCAAGGTTTGGCTACCGTCCCAGGCGCAACACGGTGGCAGGATGCGGCAGCATCTCCAGCCTCTTCGGTTCAGATCCAAAGAGAATGAAAAAGTGCATGTTCTTCATAGCTTAAAATGCAATTTATGTCTCATTAGCCCCCATGATCAGTGGGATGAAATGTGCCAAACAGCTTTGGCCTCTGTTTATGTCCCTGAAGCTGGAGATGTCATCCGTGTCACCATCCCCAAAGCAAATCTGAAATGTTTTTACAACAAAATGTGTAGATTCTACAAGCATAAACACAAAATTTATTTATTTCTGGAAGGTACACGGTTATGAATCACAGAAGACTAGTTCCATGTATGACCAGCTTGAAAAGTGCAGTCTCCTAGGGCTTTTAAAACAAATCGTTGCAAACTGGGTAGCTTAAAACAATAGAAACTTATTCCCTCACCAGTTGTGAGGTCAGAGGTTTGAAATCAAAGTGTGGGCAGGGCTGCTGCCTTCTGGAGGCTTGGAGGGAAAACTGTCCACCTCTCTCCTTACTGTGGCTGGCCGCCCCCAGTTCTTGGTGTTTTCTAATTCATAGGCACTTTGGTCCAACCTATGCCTCTACCTCTCTGTCACCTTCTGTTTGTGTCACAGTGTCCGACACTAGTCATCGGATTTAGGGCCCACCCTAAGTATAAGTTGATTTCAGATAGAGATCCTTGACTAATCATATCTGCCAAGATCCAGATAAGCTCATATTTTGATGTTCTACATGGATCTGAATTATGAGGGGGGCACCGTTCCACCCCCAGCAATGAGTGTGCCTATTTCACTACATCTCTAAACACCAGAGGTCAGATTTACATAAAAATCTAACTAAAATCTAACTAAAGTTAGATCTCCTGACCTGGGCCAGAAGGGGATTGTCTTGTGTGTGTCACCCAGTCCTCACTAGGGATCCTTTTCCTGGGAGCAGAGATGCACGGGCCTGTCGGTGGTGACCCCTGCTCTCGTGCCTGCTCTCCCCGTGCTCCCAGCACGCCACTGCGGTCCCCTTTGCCTGGAAAGTGCCCCCCAGGTATCGCACCACTCTCCTTCGGCTCCTTCAGGACTTTGTTCTCAGTGAGGCTTTCCATGCCTTGGTATTTAAAATCACTTCCTTTCCCCTTCCGTGTATGAGGTGGGCATCAGGAATCAGTGAGCACTGCTGGTATTATTTGTGTGTGAAAGGGAACTGAAACATTATGCAAGAGCAGAGTGATGGCATGTGAAGACTGGCTTCTGGGTTGCCTTATTTCTCCATGTCTAACTATTTATTCTTAGAGAGAGACAACTACTGCATTTACTACTCTTTAGAGCTTCTATTGCATTTATTGGCACTTAGCATTTATGTCCCAGCATTTTTAGTTAGATTTTTATGTAAATTTTTCTTGTCCCCTGAAATAAATTGTAAGCTAAGCAGAGGGCAGGTACCTGTACCCTCATGACTATGATGTCCACACCATCCAGGAATCAAACGAGATGTCAGTGATCACATCTAAGGAAATCTCAGAACCACAGATGTTCCACAGGCCTTTAGGCACAGTGTAAATTCTGATCTGAATTGCAGCCATACCATCCCCAGCTCTGGCGGATCTCTTGACCCTATTTTCTTCAACTTCTCTGAAGGACATTAGTGACTTTTTTTGGTGGGGGCAGGGGTTGCCCAGGAATCAGGATTTTCTGGTAGCTTTAGGGATCAACTCTTGCCACATGTGTAGATGCAAGAATTTAAAAGATTTAAGAACTGAAAAAAGCTCTCAAGAATGTGTGTGGGTTGAGAGGCATCCCCCCACGGAAGTCCTGGGGATGGAAGACGTCAGCGTTCATATCCACGAGGGCCATCATCCTAGGCAGTGCCAGTAGCCCCTCCGTAACTTGAATCTTCTTTCCAGCATTAGAGATGAGATACTATCACCCAAGTGTGCAGGAGGCTGTGGTGTGCCTGCCTGTGCCTGCCTGTCCCCTGGCTGGCCTTCCAGGCCCAGCTCGATGTCCCCTTCCCATGGAATCCTGCCTAACTCCTTCTCCCTGGCTCCCCTCCTCCCACATCTCTGTGTGTTTCCTTTCCTGTGCTCCCATAGCTCTATTCACCTCTGTTGCCACATCTAGAACGTTCTCCTGTAGTGACCACAGAATTTGCTCACTATATGCCAGGCCTTATTTGTGGCTTTGTCTCATCCTTCTACTCTCTTCATGGATGGTGACCGCATTTTTCATGCCTGTGGCCTCAGCCTCTAGCACGAGTCTGACACCGGGAAGCAGTTTGCTAAATGCATCTTGGTGAATGAATACATATGATAAATTCCTTTGTAGAGGTCCTCATAAAAATGTATTTCTGAGATTAAGAAATAGGTCAGAAATGTCTCAGTAGTTTATAAATGTTGGATGCCAGAATCTCTGGCACGCCTCAGGTATCTAGAAGCAAGCTGATGTGGGTATTACTTTCTGTTTCTCTTCTTTGAAGTAAATTCATGTTGGGTTACAGCAAATAAATGTGAATTCTTTCATTAGTAAACTTTGAACAATCTGAAAAATACAACCTTTCAGAAATGTGAAAATTATTAGTTGACCACAATTCAATGTATAATTACTAGTTGATAATATACATTCAATATTGAAATATCCAATGGTTATGGGAAGTGTTTTGTATTTTAATAACTTTAATGTTTCCTAAAATCAGGAATCCTTTCCCAGCCTTTCTTCTTCTTTCCTTTCACTCCTCCCCATCCCCCAGGATGCAGTGACTACAAAGCCCCTTATTTTGGTCTTCACTTCATCCCGTCCATTGTTCCCTTTCAGCATGCTGAAGTGCTGGATAATGGGGCCAGGGCATGGGGGTAGAGAATGCGCGCGCGCACGCACACACACACACACACACTCTCTCTCTCTCTCTCTCTCTCTCTCTCTCACACACACACACTCACACACACTCTCTCTCTCTCTCACACACACACACACACACACACACTCTCTCTCTCTCTCTCTCTCTCTCTCTCTCTCTCTCTCTCTCTCTCTCTCTCTCTCTCTCCCCTGCTTTCTTTGCCTACAGTCCAGCAGTTGAATTGACAGTTAATTGCAATTTGTGTTAAGTGCTCTCACTGAGGTAGGTATGCCCCGGGAATACAGAGAAGAAAGGAGTGCCCACTCAGTACATATGCTGAGCTGGGTCTTAAAGGAGGAGTACATGTTGGAGAGGTGAGGAAGGGTGGCCATCCCTTCCCAGGCACAGGAGTGGTGTGCACAGAGTCTGAGGCCTCACAGCATGTTTGGGGAATGGTGAGTGGCGCACGTGATGATTCAGGAGTCAGGCTGGAGGGGCATGGATTTTATATAATATGCCAAGGACTTCATATCTGTTCTGTAGACAAAGAACAAAAAGGAATTTTTATCAAAGTGAAGACATTTCAGAAAACCTCCCTGATTCCTACCTCTTTCCCTTCTCCCTGCATGCATCAGGACAGTGGATTATGCATTATCATTAGAATGGGTTATCTGCTCTGAGGAATATTCTTCCAAGCTCCTTCCATTATAAGAGAGAGAACTGTTCTATGAAGTATTATTCTGCTAAACTGAAAGCACATACCACATGAGGAATTTTCCCTTCTGCTGCCAGAAAATGCCACTCAGATGTTACCCAGAAACAGAAGTAAAGACCCAAGTTTTGCAAGGTCTCATGAAAACCAATGAAATTGTGACAGTATTGATTCTGGTTTGAACCTGAAGGTGGTTGCATCGATGTGAGCAACACAAATGGCTATTTCAGCCTGGTTTCTAAATGAATTACAAAGACAGATTCCTCTTTTTCAGAAAGCTTTTTTGAAAAGAAAATTTTCATATACTGCTTAATAATTCTTGTTACAGGGATATGCAAAAGCCTTGAATGGATTTGTAAAATTGGGTCTTATTAACAGAGATGCATTTCCTGCCCTTCAACCTGAGGCCAGCTCTCTCACCTGGGTGAGTGACTCCAGAATTATATGTTGTGTGGTGCTCTTCAGAAATGCTTCTGAAGTGGTAAGCTTTGAACTTTGGTTTGGACCAGCAGAAGAACCCATTCCATGGCTTATGTGCAGGAAGATTAACCCAACCCCTAAGCCCCCTTTCCTTCCACTGTTAAGGGAAAATGGAGAGATCATGGGGCTGACTCACCATGCCCATTTCCTGCAGCAACTTCTGCTACTTGATTGCTTCCTCAGTCCTGGGAAGAGGACTTGCCCTGCTACTGGGTTCTGGGCTCTGCCATTTGTCTAAGTGGGGACTGAGGGACAAGATTTCAACTTGGGCCTCCTGCAGCTGATAAACCAGGAAAGCTGTTGGTGGTATCACAGAACTGGACTTCCAACCCCCAAATCCCATCAGCTCTTTGATTTGGTCATTTGTAGCTATGAGTAATTTGAGTTTTCATTTATGAGTTTATACCCATTATGTGTATTGTATTTAAATCTTAGAATCTCAAGTTTGGAAGGGACTTTGAACTTGGGACTGAATGTAAAGTAGAGGTGCTGCTAACTGCCAGGAATTAACCTGTTTACTAGCTGGTCATCCAACTTAAACTGACTTAAACTATGTGCCCATATTCTAGCAGAAATGCCAGGAATTTATCACAAGGGGAAAAAGATTAGTATTGCAACTTTGGTATTCTTGCTAGCTAGTTTCTTCTAAATTCAGTTTTTTTGTGTTGAGAGACTTCCCAATACAAAGTTTACCTTTAATAAGTGTACTGGTTGGACAGTAGTGAATAAATATCTGTAGAGAGAATCTTGGGTTGAGGCAGCTGGATTGGATCAGTCGGTGCAGACATTCTTAGTGATGGCCCCAGGCTAGCAAAGGGGCTGGCAAACTTTTTTTCTGGTGAAGCATCATATTTTTTTGTTGTTGTTAAAAGACCAGTAGGCTTTTTAGACCATATAGTCTCTTGTCAGCTACTCAATTCTGCCAGAGACAATACCTAAACAAATGAGCATGGCTATGTTCCAAAAAAATTTTTTATTTACAAAACCAGGTGGTGAGGTGAATTTGGCCTGTGAACCAGTTTGTTGATCTTTAATCCAGAGCATAACTTTTCACTGGAAGGAGTTTTGTTTAGGAAGTAGATAAAGCTGTGATCACTGTTTAAGTGTCCGTCTGTTGAGTTTTTATGATCTGCAAGGTTTTTCTCATCTCTTGAACTTACAAAAGAACTGTGGTTGCTACTAGCAACCACAGCAATGGTCTATCCTGGCCAGAGCAGGCTGCTGGAGGGTGAGGGCGAATGGGTGGCATTGTGACGGAGAGAATATGAAAGGTAGGAGATGTGGTAAATATCGGCCCATCCGTTTAGTATTGATTTGATGTTATGACCCATTTTTATTGCTGGAATACCATTTTGGGATACCATGCACTTGTTGATATGTGGGGTGTACAGGCATGTGTGTATGTATGTGTGTGTGTTACTATTTACTATTTCTAATTTAAAATTTGAGGCGCATTTGAGGTCAAATGTCTTAGGATAATTTCTCGACTTATTTTGTATTTTATTAGAACTTTGAATTTTTATCTTTACTTTTCTAACCAGAAAGAACTCCTCTGTGGTCTAGTTGGCATTTCACCCTCCTCCAAGCACGATGTGCTTAAGGAAGCTGTCCTTAAGAAACTAGGAGGTGACAATACCCAGCTGGAGGCTGCTGAATGGTAGGAATCTACCGATCAACCTAGAGCAAAATACTAGATCAATGATTACTTAGTCCTTTCTAGTGAAAAAAAGATCAAGATAGAACCAAACATTTTACATGGTCTTTGATTAATTTGCTGCTCCATTGTTAGCTTGCTGTAGAGAGATTCCTGTATACCATGTATGTGTGGGAGATAAAAAGTAAATACAGAGAGAACTCAATAGCAGTTAGACTGGGGAAATACTTATTTTGTGACACTTCTACACAGTTCCAGAGAAAGTTGGAATTTTTTCCCTCCTACAGGAGATCTTGCAGTCTCCCTGCAACTACTTTAAAGCATTCATTCACAGGACCATGGCACATTATTCTGGTGTCCTTAATGTGGGAGAACTAACCTGTAAATCAATCTCATAAAAGTCTTTGCAACAGTGGAGACTTACAGTGTGTAAGTTCTGCTCCAAGGAGCACTGCTTCACCCAAGTGTGGGGATGATTCTAAAGGTGAAACATAACTACCATTATTGTTATTTTACAATTTAGGAGAGTCCTATAACTTGGACTGTTACCTTGCGATTTTTCCTTTTCAAGATAAAATCCAGGGAGCTCCCTTCTGCTTCCCAAGTGAGAATATGTATAGGACTTGAACTAATGCAGCCATCTCTTGTGTTTCCCAGGTTGGGCTTGCTTGGTGATGAACAAGTCCCTCGGGCAGAGTCTATAGTGGATGCACTCTCCAAGCATTTGTCCATGAAACTCTCCTATGGTAGGCCTAAGTATTAGCTAAGCATTCCAGAAGAATTGTAAGAAGCAGTCAGTACAACCAGCAAACTTGATTGGAGGGCTGGAGCCAAGCAGTAGGCACGGGGAAGGAGGGAAGGAACACTTGGCTATTTTTCCAGAAGGAAGAATAAGAGAACTACTAAGTAAGAATGAATTTGGGTAATATGGGAAAGGAAAAAATTATTAGTTTTACTTTTAAGTTTTCATGAATTTTGGAAATACTGCAGGAACAACTTTGGGAGAAAAGTGGGTGGTCTTTGTAGCAATGCCCTCATACCTGTGACTAGGCTGTAAGGGTACCAACCTGGAGAGGAATGCAGTCAAGGGCATCATTTCCTTGAGGTTTTCACTTGGTCTTTGGGCTAAAAAGCAGAAGAGATGGTCGCCTAAGGGCCATCTACAGCGGGAGGGGAAAGTTGCAGGAGCAAAAGGGGAGGAGGCGGAGATGAAATACCATATTGGAGTTGTGATGATGGTGGCATTTACAAATATCTGTTGCTTTATTTTGAGGCCCTGGAGAGAAAGATATGATTGTGATGAGAGACAGCTTTGGAATCAGGCATCCTTCTGGACATTTAGAAAATAAAACGATTGATCTTGTGGTTTATGGGGATGTCAATGGCTTTTCAGCTATGGCTAAAACCGTGGGGTTACCCACCGCTATGGCAGCCAGGATGTTGCTCGATGGTAAGTTCCTTCGAAAACTGAGTCTGTCTCCATATCATTTCCAAGTTATTCAGTGCCTGGTCATCAAGTAATTACTCTTGGGTATTACTATAGTATTTATAAAAATGAGCCATTTCAGAAGATCCAAGTGCTGGCTGACAGGACGTCACCTTATAGTGAGTAAAAACCTGGGCTTTGGGATTGGACTTTCTCTGTCTGAATTCAGTCATGAGACAGCTCAGAATGTCTGAGCCAGACCTCCTTCATCTTTAAAGTGGGGCTGTTCATTCCAAATTTATAGGGTTACTGTGATTCTGAAGTGAAATAATACATAAAGCTCCTACCACAGAGAGGGGCCCCCAAGGAATGTTAACTTTTTCTTTTCTTGGTTTTTCATATTTGGGGTGGTAATACTGAAATAGCAGAGGTATTCACCTCAGGACTTCAAAAAAAGAGACCATGTTTTATTACTTTTGACATCTCATTATATTATTAATACTAGATAAATATTTTGGACTAAATGAATTCAAATTTCAACTCTCCACTCTCCCCTGAAGATCATACATGTGTTCAGTAAGCCCTGTGTCTGAATATCCTACCTGATTGGGTCCTTATGAAAATGTGAGGGGAAGAAAAACATACACATGTGAAAGAGAGAGAGAAAACACATCCACAACAGCATATCAGTTAGCATCAAATTAGACTACCTACTTAGTTATAGTCACACTACCTACTTAGTTATAGTCAGACTACCTGCTTAGTTATAGTTAGACTACCTGCTTAGTTATTGTCAGACTACCTGCTTAGTTATTGTTCGACTACCTGCTTAGTTATAGTCAGACTACCTACTTAGTTATAGTTAGACTACCTGCTTAGTTATTGTCAGACTACCTGCTTAGTTATTGTCCGACTACCTGCTTAGTTATTGTCAGACTGCCTGCTTAGCTACTGAGGAGCCGGAGGGAAGAAGGGATGAGAGGTGAGGCCATCATGGCCTTGAGAGGAAGGGCCCAGACTTCCTCACAGAGGCCTGTGCCCAGATTACCAGATTGGTTTTAATTTATTCTGTTGGTGGTGTATTTTATTTTATTTTTTAATGACATTAGCACATAAAGCAGACCAGGTAGGTTACTTTACTTTCTTACTATACTTTATTCTCTGTCTGTCTTGACAGTAGTTAATGCAGCTCAGTATATAAAATCTGACACTGGCCTTAAATCCAGCTCTGCTTTCAATCTAAAATTAACCCTTTTCCTTACAGAGTGTCAATTAAGTAATAACTTAGTAGAGGACATTTAAGCAGCTGTTTTTAAAATGTCTGGGCTTCTAGCAGTTCACTGACTCTGAGCTTATTGCTATATAGACTCCTACTGTGGAGATTCCCCTTTAATACCACCTTTAAAATGGTAACTACAAATTAATTTTCTTCCAGGTGAAATTCAAGCTAAAGGCCTGATGGGGCCCTTTTCAAAAGAGATCTATGGCCCAATATTGGAACGAATTAAAGTGGAAGGCATTACATACACTACGAGGAGCACTGTCACATCATAATTGAGGATTGTATTTTGTTCTTATCTTCCTGGGCAATGCAGCTCTGGACATTTGTGCAACAAACACGCTTGCTAATGTGCTGTTTTAAATTATAAAGCGTGACATGTTTTTATTCAGTCAATATAATGTTGTTTTTGAAATATAAACCTCTATTTTAATATGAAAACATTTGGAACAGGAGATGCCAATGATTATCAGAGAACTTTAATAATTCTACATATATTTTTTTCATGTGTATGTAAAGAGTGATAATGATTGTGCTATTTGTTAATTTATTGTATAACCTTTTTCTTACAAAAATATATTTTCCTATGATCAGGAGATCGTTTGATCTAAATTTTTACTACGAAGAAATTTTCTCATGTGGCTATATTTTGTACTTCTCAAATTGATTCATTTAGGTACTTTTAGATCACCTATCTATAAACCTTTGTAGTAATGCCATTTTTATGCCTTTTTTGTAAAATTATGACTTATTTAGTAAATGACATTTCTTATAGTTTTCTCTTGAGTGTTTGCAAAAAGGAATAGGTAAAATTAAATAAAAACCCATATGATTATCTCAACAGGCACAGAAAAAGCATTTAACAAATTTCAAAATCTTTCATGAAAAACACTCAATAAACTAGGAATAAAATAGAACTTCTTCAACCCAATATAGAGCATCTCTGAAAAACCTATAACTAGCCTCATACTTAATGATGAAAGACAGAAAGGTTTTACCTCTAAAATCTACACAAGACAAGGATGTCTGCTTTTGCTACTTCAGCTTGTACTGGAAAGTCTAGCCTGAGTGATTAGGATATAAAATGAAATAAAAGACACTCAGATTGGAAAGGAGGAAGTAAAGCTCTCTCTCTTCATAGATGATATGATTTCACATATCAAAAATACAAAATTGCTCTAAGAAAACATTAGAAATAACACATATTAAAATAGAGATTTATATTTCAAATCAAAATCAATTTTGCTATCTTAATCTAAGAGAACAAATTTGCAATAATGTGAAAAAGAATAAAATAGGAATAGGCTGAAAACACAGAAATAATCCTCACATTTATGGTTAACTGAATGTTGAACAGGGCGTTAAAACAATTCAGTGGAAGAAAATGATCTTCGTGATGGTGCTGGAACAACAGGATATCTACATGCAAAAGAATTAAGTTGGATCCCAACTTCACGGCACATATAAAAATTAAATCAAAATGGACCAAAGACCTAAATTTAAGAGCAAACCTGATAAAGCTTTTAGAAGAAATCATAAGCATACATTTTCACAATCTTGGATAAGGCAATGATTTAAAATGAAACCAAAAGTTACTAAGCAACAAAAAGAAAAAAAAAACCCTTCATAATTAAAAACTTCTGTTTTGTTCCAAGGATCAAGAAAGCAAAAGACAACATACAGAGTGAGAAATTTTTTTTGCAAATCATATTATCAGGTAAAGGAGGAACTTGTATTTAGAATATATAAATAACTACTGTTAATATAAGGACAAAAAGTCCAATTCAAAAAAATGGACAAAGGATCTGAATTGACAGCTCTCCAAAGAAGATACACAAAAGGCCAATTAGCACATGAAAAGATGCTCAAACATCATAAGTTGTTGGGGAAATGCAAATCAAACCTACAATGGAGTACCACTTCATACTCGGCAGGATACTTCTAAATAATGAAAAAGATGATCTGTGTTGGTGAAGATGTGGAGAAATTGGAGCCTTCATAAACTGTTGTGGAAATGTAAAATGGTACAGCTGCTTGGGAAAATAGCAATTCTTCAAACGGTTAAACATAGAGTTATCATATGACCCAGCAATGTCACTCTTAGCAATAGACCCTAGAGAAATGAAAACATGTGCACACACAAAAACTAGTAAACAAATGTTCATAACAGCATAATTCATAATAGCCAAAAATCATAACAAGTCAAATATCTATCAAGTAATAAATGAAAAACAAAACGTGGCATATTCTAAAATAGAGTATTATTTGGAGGTCAAAATGGAATAAAGTACAGATACATGCACAACATGGATGAATCTTGAAAACATTATGCTAAGTGAAAGAAGCCAGACTGAAAAGGCCACATATTGTATGATTTCATTTATGTGAAATTGTCTGGAATAGTCAAATCTATGTATACAAAGTAGATTAGTGGTTGCCTAGGCCTAGGGAGCTTGGGGGAAATGGGAGTGACTGCTAATGAGTTTGGGGTTTCTTTTTGGGGTGAAGAGAATGTTGTAGAGTTGTTTGTGGCAATGGTGTCATAACTCTGTGAATATCGTAGAATAATCACTGAACTGTATACTTGGAATGTGAATTGTATGGGATTGAATTATATTTCAAGTTGTTACATAAAAAGTTTACATTATAAATAAAACTTCTTTTAATCCTAGGGATAAAGCATTTCCCTTTAGAGATATAAACTAAATACCTGTTGAACTTTCTCAGACTGAGTGCCTATACTGGAATAGGAAACTAATTCTGCCCTTGAAATAAGCAGGTATTATATGTGGGGTATATGACAGTTGAGAAAATATCTATGTTATTTGAAAAGGATCAGTTGATTAAGGCCTAGTCCCACTTGTCACAAATAATAGATGGAGATCAATAATCCATTAACATGTAAAGATATTTCTGTTATGGCAGTTTTTTCTTTTTCTTTTTTTCCAAAACATTGAATTCAACACAATAAATACAACAGTGTTACTGAGACCGGGAGGGACCTTGGGTTTAGGCAGAGTAGGGTGAGCACCTCTGGAAAAAAAAAGCAAGGCAAGATAATTACAGTCAAAACAATGTAACAATGTGCAAAGAAGTCCCTGTGGAAACTCTGTGTTAAGCATTATGCAAAATCAGAGTCACACTAATTCTCTAGGATAAACCAGACTAGAATACAGACATTCTTCAGTAAGTCAAAAGGCCAGGAGTAACTTGGCCTAGAATGTTTGAGTGTTTCACAAATAAAGAAGAGTATCTCAGCATAACCTGTGACTTCACAGTATCAGATCATGATGCTGTAAAATTTGCCTTAGCCTGCTAAAAGGCCCAGCTTATTTTTAACTACCTATGTGCTGTTTTTTCATTCTGTAATCCTAATCAATCTGCAACCTAGGCAAAAGACTAATTTGGCAAGCAGTCTCAACTATAAACATCCCAAGCAAGCAGACAGCAACCCAGCCCACTTTGGGGGTGGGGCAGGCAGTCTTACAAGTCTGCACCCCTAGCCCTGCCCTTTACCCCCACTCCTGAAAATCCTCAACTGCGCATAAAACCCCTAGACAATGACACAACCATAGACTCTTGTCTATGAGCCAGGAGCTCTGTCCTCTCACTTTATCTCTAAATAAAAGTCTCTGCTTTACTCTCCTACCTTGAGTGTTTGCGAAGTTCATTCTTCGGATCTGTGAACAAGACCCCTGGCATCATCACCATGATTCCTTCTGTAATCTAGAAGAGTGCTGGATGGAAAGGGGACTAGGGTGGCACTTAAGGTAGGAGGGGATTATTGTTAAACTCTCAATAGAATGGACTAGTTTTGGCTTTATGATAATGAGCAATAAAGGGGATGTGACTGAAGAGCTGTCTAATATCAGTACTAGTGGTAGGTAGTGTTGGGAAAGGATATGTCAGTATGCTCGAATTAAAATGGATGTAATCAAACATCGGATTGGCTCTCAACCAGTTTTCCAGCAGAAATTTAATAAAGGCGGTAGTGTGAGGATCTGGGCATCAATGAGTAGGTTATACTCATGAGCATATGGCTGTTATCAGGGGCCAGCAAACTTTTACTTTAAAGGGCTAATTAATAAATATTTTGGGTTCTTCAGGCCCAGAGAGTCACAACTGCTCATTTTTGTCTTGTAGTTTGAAAGCAGCCACAGATAGTACATAAGAGTGGACATGACTGTGTGCCAATACAACTTTATTTACAAAACGTGGCATAGTTTGTAAACTTGAGCCATAGTTCCTTGAGCCATAGTTTGTGAACTCCTGGTCTAACTATTTTGGTAGATTTAATGCTTGTATCTTCCAGGTCTTTCTATCTCATTTGGTTTCTTCCAGATAATATGCATATTTACATTGTCCACTTTTCCTTGTCCTAGACTCATGAAACACTAGAAGAGGCTGAGACACTGAGAAGCAGTGTGATTGGTTTTGCAACATGCTAGCTGTTTGCTTCTCCATAAAATGATAGCAGTCGATCACAGGATGGTTATGTATGGAGGTTAATGAGATAATATAAGAGAAGTTGTTGTAGGGTGGAAAGGACCTGAATAGTCATTTGGTCAGTTTGCTAATTTCACAGAAGAGAAAATGTGTCTCACAAAATTAAATGACTTGCCTAAGGTGACAAGACAACAGTGAAATTTGATCATCATTTAAAGTCACCTAAAATACTTGATAAAAATTTGGGAAGCATTCTGATTTATAAAACCTCTCTTCCTGTTGGTTATTAGGGCCACTGGTATAACCCATATGGTGCCTTTTTGAAAAGAAAGCACTGCCTCTTCAAGAAATTTCTATCTGTCAAAAAATGTCATCAAGTATGTATTTACTAGAACAAAACACTTTACTACTATCTGATGGAACATTGTTATAATAAATATCACATTAAATAAATTCCCCAAATTATTTAAGATAATATTTAAGTTCTACGATTAGCTCCCCTTTAGATGTGCATAATTTGCAGTCACACAGAGTAGCTAATCTTATCCTTATATGCTGTAGAGATTAGCTTTCTTTACAGTGGTTTACATTTGTTGATTATTTGCAGTGGAACCACATTTACTGGACCTGAATTTACTGAATTCACAAGAAAAGCCTGTTCTAGAGCAATACTTCTTAGTTACTGACGCCTAGTCTAGAAACAACTTCTTTCTCCAATTTGGTGTTAATCCTAACACTCATTCTTAAATTTCTGTTAATTAGCAAGAATCAAAACACAGTATTAAGAGTCCTAAGCTTCAAGGTTAGCAGGTTTGTCTCTCTCCTTTCAGTTGGTGTAGTCAATGAGGCTTCTAGGGTTGGCCAGGGTTGTGTTGACTCACCATGTGAACAGCATGCCTGGGTAACACGTTCATAAACACTGGGAATCCCACTCCCAGCCTGAAGCCTGAAGAGACCGCATTGGCACTGCTCTCGCCTTTGACTGGAGATGACTGGGCTGCTGTCAGGGACAATGAAGGCAGCAAAATGCCAGGCCCTTGGCTTCAACACTGAGTTCATTTCTTCTGAGCCAGGGTCTTGGTGAATCTGGCACAGGGTGAATGAGCCCCCATACTTGATCAGAAACCTGGCAACTCCAATTGAGAAAAGCTATGTTTGCCTTTATTAGCAAACTATTGATAAAAGATTATTTTTTCACAAGTTGAGAGAGATACTTGAATGGAGTAGAAATCAAATGGGAGTTGGGAGAGGAAAGAAACTGGAAGAGGCTATAAAACGTGGAGAAGGCCAAGAGAAAACATGAAAAGATGAATGATGATTACTTTCATAATGTTAAAAAAAAGCTTGAATATTTTGGCTGGTAAAAGTGGTTCTGTTTAATTTCTGGTCTATGAAATGTGAGATTTAACATTAGCTGAAACTGTGCAGATGGTGGTCTTTCTCAGCCTCTTGCTCATCTGCCCATATGCTCTGTGATGACATTCTTCAGGCCTCTGTCCTAACCTCTACACATATTTCCTCAGGGTGCACACAGCCCACCCTGTGGCGTGGAATATCATCTCTCTCAGATGAATCCCAGACTTTGTCACCTGAGCTTCAGAGTATATATATGCAGCTACCCACTGGACATCTCTGGGTATCTCCCAGACTTCTTAAATGCAATGTAGAGTTAAGAGTTTATAGTATAGACCAGTGTTTCTCAGTGGGGCCACCTCCCTTCCCCCAGCCATTTCTTCTGCCAGATCACCTGTCTCAGGAGATGGCAACCGATACCTTCCTTGCTGCTCTGGCTGACGTACTTGATGGTTCCTTCCTCTCACTCCCACTCAGCAAGTCGAGGCTTCTTCCTTTCCCCACTGAGTCCCCTGACTCATCCGCTCTACCCACAGACAAGGCCGTTACCATCTTTTACTTGGATCATTGCAAAGCCTTTTATGTGGCCTCCCTGTATCCAGAATTAAGCTCCTGTTATCCATTCTCCTCATAGCAGATAAATTAATCTCTCAAAACTATAAATATGACTGTTCTGATTCATTTCACTACCTACAGGTATTTTCTGGGATCATCTACCAAATAAACCATTTACACTTAAATCACCGTCTCAGGTTCTGCTTTTATGGGAACTCAAACTAAGATTCCAATGTATTTTAACACCTTTCATGAGGTCTAGTATATATATAACAGTATATATAAAATCCTATGTGTATATAGTATTGACCCATTTAAAAGCCTGGTGCCAAGGTGTGGTAAAGGTGGAAGTGGAGATAAGGGAAGGTTGTTAAAGGCTCTGCTTATGTGTAAAGCAGTTCTAGGTTAAAATTTAGGAGTTGGCTGGTAATGCTGAAGAGGCATATTTTTCTTTTCCATTTGTTGCCTCTTAGGACACTTGTTGAAATTTCCCCAGAGCATAAGGGTAGGTAAAGAGTGTCATTTTGTGATGTTTGAATCAGCCCTTACTATCAAAATCATTGCGCCACCATAGATTGAAATTATGACATGATCACCATTACGGGGTTCTGGTAAGGTCAGCTTTGTGCTTCTAAAAGATTGCTTTGGCCACAGCACTGAGACTGAATCAGGAAAGGGCAGGAGGGTGAGACAGTCAGAGGCCACTATGGTAGCTGGAGACAGATAGTTCAAAGAATGAGAGCATCATTTAGGTGCTTCTCCAGGCTGCTGAATTGGTGTTAGGAGCCGGAAACAGAAACCACCCCAGGTGTTTTAAAGAGAATGGCAGACAAGGAAGTAGGGGCAAGAACTGACAGCCATGGCTGGGGCTGCATACTAGGAAACTGCTATCAGAAGTACCTGCTCTTACTGCTGTGGCTGCGACTTACTGGTTCTCAACTCAAGTCCCCAGAATTCTGCTGCAGAAACCCACATTTCTACAGCCTTGCTCACCAGCAGAGGCAAAGAGGGCAGGAAGATGGCCTCTGTCTTTTTTCTATCTTCTAAGTCTTGTGTGAGAGCATCTTTAGGGTGGCCTGCAAGTCAAGAAGCACAAGCAAATATAATAAATGGTTTAATGTTATGTTACAGTGCATGGCAAAATATCATCATCCATAGATCCAGACTTTATGGCTCCACATATTTGGTGGAACATAATTCATATCCAGAACTCTCCCTGAAAAGGAGGCTAGGAAATATAGTTTATAGCTTTTTAGGCTTTGGCATATAAGAAATGTTCTAGTTTCTATCACTGTGTAACAAAGTACCCCAAAATGTAGTGACTATAACAACAGCCATTCATTTTGTTCATCCACCTGCAATTTGGGCCTGCTTGGTGGGAACAGCTTGCCTCTCCTCCACCCATTCTCACTTGAGATGTGCTGCTGGGAGCTGGGGGGATCCCTTTTGAGACAGCTTGCACCCAGAGCTGGCAAGGTGGTTCTGCTGTAGCTGGAAACAGCTGGGGCAGAAAGCCAGGACCATGGTTTCTTTCCATGTGTGGGTTTTGTCGCAGCGTGGTGGCTCTGTTCTCCAGGCGGACCTCCCAAGGGAAGCAGGCAGAAGCTGGGTCGAGCCTCAGAAGTCACATAGCTTCACTTTTACTGTAGTCACAAGTCCACCCAGATTGAAGCAGAGGGACCACACACCCCACTTCTCAATGGGTGAGTTTCAAACAGTCACATGTTGGGTGGAAGATATTGTTGGACTATTTTTGGAAAATATAATCTGCCCCAGGAAGGTCCCCTGGAAGGCAAGTGACATATAGAGGGATTCTGTGACTCCTCAGTCATGGCCCAGTTACCAGTCTTTCCTCATTGGCGTTAATTATTTTCTAACCATTTCATTTTTTTTCTCTACGTGGTTCTCTGAGCCCTTTCACGTACCCCCAGGAGCTCAGAGCTGGACATGCTGTACAGACAAAAGGTAGAATATTTTCATTTACTTTCTAAAAAAGCCCAAGAAATGCAGTTTTAATTTCCTGCACCCCTTTAAACACTTGCAGTAAAGGTGCTGTAAGAGAGTTTTCTAATTTAATATTTTCATTAGGACAATTAATGCTGTAGTTTTCAATACACAGCTTCATTAAACAAGTTAGCAACAAGGAAAAAAATTATGTGCATCAGTTTATTTCTCTGTGTGGATAATTCCAAACTGAGGCAACTCCCCTAGCATTAAAGCAAGATGATAGGAGTCTGGGCCATGTCGTGAATGGCACATCCAAAGTTGCAGAGGAGAGTATTATGAATGAGCAT